AGTAATATGCTTTTTCCAATGATTCTGCAGACATACATGCATACGTTAGATACATATTCTACTGGAAAATATACCCATTTAGGTGGTCAATAAGAACCTAAAATTTCAGCTTTTCTAACCCTCTATAAAACTTGGTATAGGTATTGAATGAGTTTGGTAAATGAGTTAAAAAGAAAATAACCTAAATTCAATTGTTTCTTTAGGTGCAACATGTGAAGTTAAGTTTTAAAGATTTAATAAGATTTTACATCTTGGAATAGTTTTTATTAGCTAGGAGTTATTCAGATACACATCGCTCACCTTTGGGACAGTCAATTTCATTGTACATTTATTGGGGGTTGAGTTGAAAACGTTGAGGCTCTATCGATTTTACTTTCGAAGGTTTAATTGATAATTACTTTAGTGGCGTTGATAATTAATAGCCTGCTGCCGGCGCACTTAAAAGTTGATTAGTTTTGGGTGTTTGGCGTTTATCGATTCGCTGGTTCGGTATGCATTTGCTGGCAATTATCCGGCAATGGATGCCATCCACGCATCTTTGTTTACCGCTCCGACAGGCCAGCTCCCATAAATATGCCAATCGCTCCGCAGGAAGAGAGCGGACCACTCGAATTTTGGCTGTTATTCGCGTTGCGCCGTCGGCTGTTTGGCACAACACTAGTGTTGTTTTAGTTTTCAAGTATTTGGCCGCCAAGCAGTGTCAGATTCTGCGGCTGTTTAACTGCCTACTCCTCGCTGCCAGAGGCGTAATGATGTGTTCTGGAAACTCAATTGGCTCACGGGCGCTGTGCGTCGATTTAATTTACACTGATTGTTTAGTTATATAGCTGCAAAGGGTTCTTGCCTTTTCGATGGGAGCACATTGTTCGGGTAATGGACTACCAGTCGAGGATGCGGAGCCCACTACACAACTTGTTGGCTTGCGGGGACTCCACTCATCAGCTGTGCCACTTGGCCAGACCAGCGGGCTCCTGACGCCACATGCTGGATAACTTGTTACACACACTTGCACTCTCGCACTGGCCGATTTTGGCGCCAAAAATATGATAATTGCCTTGTTTCACACTTCACGACAGCTGAGGAACTCGAGTAGGCCTGGCGAGTCAGCACAGGTCCTCAAAGTCATCGCAGTGTCCTGGCTTGAAAGGCTGGCCAAACTGGAGTTTAGTTCGACGGCCAAGCAGAAAACAAAAATTAACGCAAATTGCATACACACGACCCGACGAGCCAGCGACTACGGCGGAGCAGGTCCTGATTGTGCGGATGCGGATGCCGATTCCGGTGCAAATGCCGATGGCAATGGCGATGGCGATGGCGATGGCGATGTCGTTGTCGGCGCTGATGTCGAAGTCGATGGCTAAGGCAGTGAGCGGCAGCAACAGAAACTCATTGTTGCGCTTGCCACATTGAATGCGTTGCGTTTTACGGCGGCGTTAGCCAGATGCGACGATGCGACTACCGGCCGCATCGTCAGCTCCAGCGTTCAGTTCACGCCGCAGATACACGCACACCAGCGCATTGCACCCACACACAGTCACGAGCGAGCGGGACAATGGCGGTGTCGTCGGGAGATGAGCAACAGTCCTCGCCGAGGCAGGGAGCGCCAGGACGAACGACCTTAACTTCCGCGTTCTGTTCTCGTCGGCTTGGCGGGCTCTCGTCGGCGCTCTCCACTCGAGTTCGGCCAGCAGGCGAGTCGGCCGGATGCTTTGCCACAATAAATGTTATGCAAGCACGAAATAGCGGCGCAGCGCCTAGAAGTATGCAGCCCGAGTATAACAGCCTTCGGCCTGGCGTCTGCGTCGCAGCAGCCGCAAGGAGCGGAGTCTCTCTCAGGGGGAAGAACTCCTCTTCAAAGCTTTCGGGAAGCTCTGGAGCTCTAGGGAAGCTCTTACCCCTCTAGTTGCTTGTGGGATAGGAGAACAGCACTGTTGCCTAACAGCGACCGAAAGCTGTTGAGCTGTTGGTGAAACTTGGAAGCTTCCGGTGGAGTCGCCAATTACAACAATGTAATGAAATGCAGCTATATACTACAGCTTCTTTACAGGGAACATTTCATTACAAGATTAGTTAAACCTTAATTTTTGCTTAATATGCAAAGTTTAGTGGCTCTCGACATATATGTACAATTTTTTGTTTCAAAATATTATACTTTTATTTTACTACTACTGTTGGTACCCATAGTGAGAATGAGAGGGCACTATGTTAGGCCAGTAACGGCATTTGTAACTTAACACAAAGCTCTAAGGACCATAACATACTGCCCAGGGGCAGTTACATTATCTACTACCCCTGATGGCAAGGAGAAAAGGCAACTTGACGAAACTTTCTCCTTTGAGCGCGGGTGAAGGGGTAGTTTCAGATAACAAGAGAGTACAAAACCAGAGAACGGGGCAGGGAGAACGGAGCTGTTATCCTTCTTGGGGTAGAACTGTGAGCATTGATTTTCAAAACGAACCGCGTTATGTTGACTTTTGAAGTTAATTCAGACATAAATCATGGGGAGAGGGAGTCTGTGCTCTGACATACACTAAAATGTAACCATTTAGCCACCATAAATTACTAGTACATCTGTTAATAAACTGCAATAGCTAAGGTACAAAATGCTATCAGGCTCCCGACTTTAGGGACTCTAGCTTTTCAACAACACCAGCTCGAGCTGAGCTTTAGCCGAGGGGTCTACTAGAACTATCGCATTCCGCCCGTTTTATAACCGAAACTTGCACCATAAACTGCACTATAACGAAACGGGCTCTGAACTATGTACATTTGATTCTTTTTAGCGGAGCGTCTAGAGCAAAAGTCTGGGGAGGTGGTGATGGGGCACCGCTGCTTACCTGAGTACCACATTGGGTCAAATCCATCCTCCTTGCACACTTAGCACATTTCTTTCTTCGGAGACTTAATTTCCTAGCTTCGCCTTCGCCCAACACTTTTATGGTATTCATGACCCTTGGAGTTCCCGCTCGACTGGGCTGCGCGCCTCTCCACATTTTCGCAGGTTGCCGCCGTGTGAGCAGCTCACGTATAAATATTTTACGACGTCCTTCAGTCATTTACTTTTATTGCAATATTTGCTCACTCAACGTTTATGATGATCATTTTAAGCCATTTTTATGGCCAGATGCTGCTCTGGCTGCTCTGCATGAATCACAGCCAGGACTGAGGACTGGAGGTAAGGACATGTGAGTGCCCTGTGCCCTGAGTGCTTTGCCGGAGGGAAGACCGCCAACGCTGCTAAATATTGGCTTACCTCCGGCCCTTCCCCAGGTTGCTGGCGCCACTAGGCTACTTGGTTGCTCTTTATATAAATGGCTCATTAAATGCTGGCATCGTTTTCACCAGTCGAGGGTCAAAGCGCAAATTGGCCAGGTGTGCTTCTGTGCCCCGAGATGCGTGGAAGGGCGGGTTTCCCTTTTGTTGCATGCTTAAAGTATATCAGCCGTAAGGATTCTAATTTGGTCACAACACTATCTGGCAACTTCTCGCATCGTTTGAGCTGCTGGCCACGTAATGAGCGACAACTTTCGCACTTGCACGTGCCCTGTCGGGTCGTAACTATGTCAACTTTTTCGACGGGGCTACTGGCCAAGACCCGGCTCTAGGAAGACCCGAAAACTGAGCTCAAGTTTTCGATTACTGCCTGAGCATCTCATCCCTGCGAAGGGGCAAGGTGGGCGGCAAAAAGTGCACTTCATTTGACTTAAATCGATACGAAGTCAGCTTGAATTTCATTTGCAAAGTGAAGTGACTGAAGAGTGGATTGAAGCACAGACCCAGTTATAAGTTATAATGGCCTGACCACAACTTCCCACTTGACAATGACCAAAAGACATGCTCAAGTGCTTCAGCAGCAGCAGCAGTTAAAAGCAAAATTTTGTCGTCTCAATGGAGATTGAAAACCCACTTTGTGCAGGTGCACCTCTTCGCCCTCACTCGATCAAGGCCCGCCCCTTTGTCCCGAGCTTGGTGTACTTGAGTTCGCCAAATTACAGTTGCAGTTGCACAACATCCAAGGCATTCACTTAGGCGCACTCAAGCACTTAGGCTAAAGTCACTTTCGGGTTATCAATAACCATCTGGGGCTGGCCAGCACACCGCCACTTTCGGAGCGGCAACTTTTACATGGCCGCCCATTCGGCGGGCACTTTGGCAGCAGCGCCTACGAGGCGCCTGCAGTTTTTGTCTATTACCTTCAGTGCATCAAACTGTCATTTTGTTGGGCGGCGGCGGCATGTGCGCCACGCTCCAGCGAACTTTGCAAAAACGCCGCAGAAGTAACACACGATTGGAAATGGCTGCGGTTGAGCGGGAAAGCCCGCAAACTTTGCGAAAGTTTAGCACAAAGAAATCGGGTTTTGTTTCTAATTCAATTTTTCAAGAAACTTTGACCCGGCAGTCGTTCTCGAGGAAAGAGCGTTTCGATTGTCCACAACAACACGAAATTCCGGGGCGAATACCGACGAAACGTTTATCCAATTTTAATCAATTGAACATTTTCGAAAAATTAAGCAAAGTCTGCAGTTTGGTGTACTCCCAAATGCAAAATTCGCCCTTGCCGAGCCCCTGACGCCGCCGTTCCCTGGGCAGGACAACAAGCCAACAACAGTTGCAATTGCAGTCACAGGTCCTTCGGACCCGGACGGAAAATTGTTCTGAACACAGTCCATTGCACACATCGGCAATGACAATGACAAGTACATGGGCATAATAAAGTCTTAGAATTTATTTTTATGTGCATATAATGGAGGGCTGCAACCCCACGCACAATCACACATGGAACTCCCCCAGAGACGCGTTCCATCTGACAATACGGAACATTTTATGAGGCCTGAGGAAACACAGTCTGCAACTGAAAACAAGCACCAGGTCTAGGCCGAGATACCCGGTCTAACACATCGCCCGGACTTCACCTCGTGACCAATTCGGATTGACCATGGCATAGTCCGCATCGAATTTTCGAATTTTGCCAATATTTGCGTAGTCATTTGGAGATAATCCTAATTGAGAATCTCGGCGTTGAACTTGGGGGTTGCCGTTTGTTGACTTGGCAGTGGTGACCCTGGCTGTGCCCTCCCACTCGGATCTGTCTCGTTGATGTAGCGGAAGCGGGGGATAACTGCAAATAAAACTAGAGTACACTAAGAAAATCAGAAACTTTGACAGTCTCTGCCTGTCCGATGCTTAATTCAAGAGATGGCTCTTGAATCTTCTGTCTTCAATGGCCTCCGCCTCCGCCTCTTCTGTCAAATGAAAATCAAATAAAGACGAGGCTTGACCGCTTCCACCCCATCTTCCTGCCATCCGCCACAAATTAATAGAAGCCTTCAATACGGGGCCAAAGAAAACATAAATAAACTTTTTGTTTTGGATTTTGTAAAATGACCATTTCCATCAAGTCTCAGCCTTCAACCCCCACAGTCACGGCTCTGCATTATCGCTGGTAAGAAAATATTTACTCAGGCGAAGGGTTCGAGGGCCACGGCCCAGACTGACAAGTGTTGGCCGACCCGAACGATTCGGGAAGCCGAGTTCGGGATGTCGGATCTAAAAAGGATTACTTATCGCATATTTTGACATAAGTTAAGTTCATCAGTGAAATACGAGAGTCAATTGTTCCGTTCAGTTCTGACCGGCCGGGGCATGTGGGGCGGGGGCGTAAGCCAATGTCAGACGGGCGGACGATGGGTCGGTTGTGATAAGCCGAATGTCCATCCCGATCCACCCCGGCTGTTCCATTGTTTTAGGCCCCCTTCTGACCGGCGTTATTTGCATTTGGCTTTGTTTGTGTTTGCAGTGAAATCAAAACACTACGAACAGAAAAAGCCCGAGAGCCAGGACGAATGTAAAATTGGCAAATACCTATTGAACAATTGACAGTTTAGGGGCGGTTCCGTCCAGAGCCCGGCAATTGACGGGCAGCATTCTGGACATATGCGAAAGGGACTGTCCTTTCTTTGATTACGTGCAATTTGGGCGTTCAATAATGCCAAGATTTTGCAAGAGCCGAAAAGGATTTATTGCCGTCCTTATTATTGGATCTCCAGTCTAATTTTTATAGTCAATAAACAAAAATCCATAGATGGTGTCCAGAAGTCCCCTTTAAAGCCGGAGTTCAGAAGGCTAGGCATTCATTCTGTGCGACCATATTGTATCTTCCATCCAGACCTTTAAAGCACTTAAATTGCGCTTACTCCCTGATCTATGCTGATATCCTTGGGCGGAAACAGCCCGCCCCGAGCCCCATTCAAGTCGAGACAAAACAAAACAGAGCCGGCACCGAGCAAACAACTCCGGCCTTACTCTTGAGGCGTCTTCCCCTACGCGGAGGACACAACATGGATGGAGACTGCTCTTGCTCATCCACAGCCGCGCCTGGTTGTAAAGATATAAAATCAAACAACTGCAACAACAGATACAAGGAAGGAAGCAGCCAGGACATGAGACAGGACAGACAGTGGCTGCGTCCTGCGTCCTGCTTGCTCGTTCTCCGAGCTGTCAGCTGCAGCGGCCGCGATTTGTAGAGCCACAAGGATAATCACACTTTTAATCGTGATTTAAGTTTATGGCGGTGGGCGCTCGTTTAGTTTCCTGTTACTTGCTACTTGTTACAGCATCTCCCAGCGTCTGGCAGGATTTTTTCAATCCCCTTTGCATGGCTTTATCAGGTTCTCTCCTTTGCTGGCTTGGTCGGGTCAGGACGATGAAGCCTGTTGCCTGTTAAGGCTGCGCTTTCATTTTTATATTTTTAATGATTTTTATTGCATAACAGGCGAAGTCTGAGCGAACTGCGACCATTCAGTGGCCCGGCCAGGCAATTGCACTTTGCCACATTTTATGGCCACCCCAGCAGGAAAGCCGGCAAGGCGAAGCAGCCCAGAGTCATCACTGCATGTTAGTTCGGGGAGAGGCGGAAGAGCTGCCTGTTCAAGAACGAGCTCCAAGTCGAAGAGTCAAACCCCCGATTATTAGACACTGCTGGCCGCAGTGTGATGACTTAATTCCACCTGGATAACCGTGTACGCATGTAGCCGTGTTCTAAGTATCCCCGCCGATCTCACCTGGCGCTGGCCCAAGTCCAGCCACATAAATCTCAGGACCACTCCCGTGTTCCAAGCCCTTCTCTGCGCAATTTGTTGCTAAACAAAGTCTCATTTACCTCTGGCCTGCCCGGTCTGGCCCTCGGACCGTTTACTTTTACAAATTATAAACACTCACATAAATTTCACTCACTGCTGCCTCACAGGGTGCCGAGCTTCTAGTGCCGTGTTCTAGGACACAGACTGAAGATGGATCTGAGCTATGAGCTCCAAGCACCTTTTTGTAAGCCGTAATTAGAAGGGAAGCTCGGCTGCCGGCCAACTTCAGCAGCTGGGGGGTTGGGTTGGGAATTGGCCACTTCAAATGCAAATTGCGTGCAAATTATGGCAACCTGGCTGCCAACCGGGTGGAACTCTCCCAATTTGGCAGAGCCCTTTCTTTTTCTATCCTGCTCGGAGCTCATAGCTCATAGGCAACGGAAAGTGCAAGAGGATATAAGTCTGAGAATCGCAGAAAGTTATGATTTTAATTGCTCGGATCCTGATTTGATTGAGATTCCCTCCAGACCATTGTTTATTTACAAAAGAAATTCTTCGCCTCTATGCAATATATGCAAAGGCGAAACATTTTTATTTTAACAGGCAAATTCCTTAATTTGTATGAATAATTAAATGTTTTACGAAGTCAGCTAAGACGACCTTAGTTACAGGATATACAGTAAGGATTCTTTACAATCCTTAAGAATTCCTTAAGGACTCTTTCCTTCCTTCCTAAGGAAAACAACCGTACAGGAGATTTTAATTGTTTGTGTCATGGTAAGAAGTACGGTTGAATATCTATAAAATAACAGAGCTATCAAGTGAAAAAGGATTATCATGTGATTAATTGGTTTGCCAATATAGGTTTTGCGATTGGACTTTTCCGATTTCTGATACAGTTTAAGAATTGATGAGTCCAGGCATAAAATTATTGTGTCAAAATTACTTGAATAGTTTTCCGCGCCTATTAGTCCGTGATATTTTGAAGGTTACAAGGCATTATAATGATTTTGGAAATCGATAATTTGGAAAAGCCGATCAAGCTTCTTATGTTTTATAAAAATTTCACAATATCATTAATATAAGCATTTATGTCTCAAGGTACTAAACCCCCCAGACAATGGAGAATATATTTTTTTTGCAGGCAATAATGACTAACACTTTGCTGGATCAGATCTATTCTTCATCCGGGATTCTGATATTATTCTGGACAGCCTTACCGACCGGATTAGCCTTTTAAAGAAGTATACGGCCCTAATTTTTGAATACTTTCCATACTTTATTTTACAAATATTGTTTATATATTTTTTTACAAGGATCACCAGATCCCGCAAGGAATTCATGGTATCATAATACAAGAGGCTAGACAATAAAGTCTTTACATTTGAGTACCCACCGTTATTATGAGTTAGAAAAGCGTTGTCGGCTTCCGATGAGGATGATCCCTGGAGCTCGTTGTTGGCGTTCGAGGAGGATGACGAGTTGGAAAAGTCGTACGGATGGGTCAGACTGTTGCTTCCAGTCGCCGAGGCAGCCAGGGCCTTGAACAGGTGGGCTGTTCGCTGCTGCTGTGATTGCTGCGGTTGCTGTTGTTGTTGCTGCTGCGGCGGAATATAGGGATTGTTGTATATATTGCGAGTGTCATTCGACGGCGGCAGGTTGTACTGTTGCTGCTGAAGCGTGTTATTGGCACTTAGACCGTTCACCGTAAAATGCCGTGATTTGGCTGGAAAGAAAGCAGAAGGCAGAAGCGTTAAAAAGGTTGGCTTTCCAGCTGAGGTGGAACCAATGAAAGTTGTTTGAAAGAACGGAAACTTTTTCCGTGTCACGACAGTTGATGCTTTCTCCGCAGACCTTCGGCCGTCCACCTCTCCACCACCCTCACCCCTTCCCACGTCTAATTGCATGCATTGAAATATGCAAATCAGTGTGTGAGTGATTGTGAGTCTGGGTGCGCTTCAATTAAAGCATTTGCGTTGCCAACTTGCAGGGGTTGGGGTTTCACTTTTGCTCCGTTCATCGCGACGCCTATTGTTGCCTTTCTCATATGAATTATGCATGGCAATACCAAAAACAACAACTCGCACCCCGCACACACCTTCCCACTGGGCTGTGCGGAAATAATGTTGACGCGGAAGCTGTGATAATGAAGCGGGCAAAAAGCAAAGTGTCGCCTCGGCCTCAGCCTCAGAATTTGTTTCTCGCCCAGCCCCAGCCCCAGTCCCAGATCCACCCGCCGTCCCCGCTAGCCACAAAAAAAATTATGGTAACCCTTTCAATTTTCCACAAGCAACCCGTTCGGAAAAGTTTCTCCTTTGCCGGATGCCGCTGCGGCTGCTGTTGCTACTGCTTTTTGCATATTAATTATGCATGTTTTGGTTGGTGTGAAGGCATCAACACATTGTTTGAATTTTAAGCAACACAAACGACAAAATTAGGGTAACTGTGAACGGACGGTGCGGGGCGGGCGTTGCCTTCCGGGAGCTCCTGTCGGTTGGCTTTCGAGCTGATTTGTTCGGCGCTTGGTGCCCAACTGTGTAAATATCAAGTGCAGAAGATAACGAGCTAATAACTCTGTTAATTTGTCGCATCGCTTGTGAGTTGATAAGAAGGTTTGATTTTAAGGACATGTTATACAGCCCCCGGGTCCTTTGACTTCCACATTTTAGACCTTAGCTTGTGAAACTTGATCCCCAGAATATTACGCCACCTTATACACCTTTATCTAACACTCTTCTGTACACTTACGGCTCAATTAACTTTGTTTAGCCGAACCTTTTCCGCTCCACGGGTCAGTCCTAACCGGGCGGAGATAAGCCCCCAAGTCAATTTCCGGGCGATCAAAACTTCAGGGCCAACAAGGCCAGCAAGCGCCGTGGTTTAAAAAGCAATGGCCATAAATTTTCACTAGAACGAATTTATTGGTAAATCTCCATCGCACGCGGCTTTATGACACACAGGCTACACATATTCCGCCCACAGGCCGACTGGATTGACGCCGGGAAAACTGCGTCGCGTCTTAATGTCAATAAAAAGCACATTCGGCCACCCAGCCACTTTCGGTGGAGGACGGGGGACGTTGGAATCGTTTTGCGAGGAAATAATGACGGAAAATCGCATAATTCGATGAGGCAGAAAGGGTTCCACATCTGAATGGGGCCGGGTCGCAGACGAAGGACTACAAAGACAGAATCAGGGGAAGCAGGGCTGGAGGAACCATAGCTCAAATGGCCTGATTTAGAAGACGCTTGGGGCGACTAACTCCGCAGAGGCATCAAAATATTAGCATCAACAAAGGAATAAAGCATTTGCTCTTTATGTGGCGAAAGGAAAACTAGTGACAACAAAACAAAATAAATGTACAAAAATTGTGTGGCAATAAAATTTGCGTAAATAGTCCAATTTGCATTGAATGTTGCCCTTATTTATGTGGCTCTTGCGCAATCAGGCCATCCCGAAAATGGGGCGGGTGGCGATTGGGAATTGGAGTCTCATTGTGTGTTGCTAGTTGGGAGCTCGGGTGCCGTCGAAGCGCTGCTCCTGGCGGACGATTTGTTGCGGAAGTGTAAATTTGCCAAATTTGGTGAAAAGAAAAAAATTGACGAAGAAAATGGCTGGAAAAAGTGAAATGGCAGAACGAATATCCTATGGGGATTGCGATCCGGCAGAGGCCTTTTGGCTGTAAACCAGTATTGATTATTTTGGTGCGTCTATGCGATGTCAAACTTAGAAGTTTGTGGAGTGAATTATACCACGATATCGATAGAAGGGTCTTCTACATAATCTAAGAAACTTAGAGAATAGATTACTTAAATATATTGGGAATAAAAACTAAAGGTTTTAGAAACTTTTTCCATACAACTGGTATGAAAAAAGGTATATTTCTAGCTGTCATAAAACCGGCTCTTCGGAAACACACCCCAGAGAGGGCACATCTGAGAGCATCAAGTTTCCAAAAACGTGGAAGAGTGGCCATGGGGGATTATGTAATCTTGCGCAATTCGCGTAATTAATTCAGCCACCAATCAATCGAAGTTCTCTTTGTTTCGCTGCCAACTTTAGCCAGACGAAAGCACTCGAAACTTTTTACTTACAATGCCCCCAATCAGGTCTCCACCAACAACAACGCGAACAATTAACAATCGATGCAGCCAATTAACAATTAACAGAAAGTTTCTGGGGTAAAAGTTTCAAACAAAATAAAGCTCAGTGAGGAGGAAAAGTTTTTAAACCGATTTGCCCATAATACATTTTAAAAATACATTCCCAATTCCTCATTCATTTTATATGCGCTCCAAAATATATTCCAAGGGCAGGGCATCGATTGATCCTCATTAATAATTGATATCTGAGTAATGGATCTCTAAGACCCTCACGTGCACGCACACTTAAAGGCAACTTATAATAGTAACACGTTCATAAATTGGTTTAAATTAGACATTCAAATTGGAGCAATTACGGAAAATAAAGTGTTTTGAAGGCGCGTTTTGAAGACCCTGTCCTGTCACTTGCAATGTCCTTTCTGGAGTTCTGGACTCCTCCCCCGGCTAGACGCATTAGCACTGCTTGAAAATCTGACAATCGGGTTGATCCCCGAAGAACTTGAACAGATGTCGTGGCATTTGAAATTCACAAAACTAAAAGCAAATGTTGAGTGTGGAATCCCAAATTCTAAGTGCAAAAGCCTGTGACTCATCCAGGCCGTCCGAGGGAGGGGGCTGCACCCACAAGGTGTCCTTGTCCTGTTGTCTCTCAGCTGCCAATGACAGTTGGCTGTGTCACCCGCGAATTCTCTGTGGCGGGGAAAATCCGCACAGCTGAACAGAAGAAGGCATGGAGTTTTCTGCGTGAATAATTCCGGCGCAGACCGGTGGCTTCGGCTTCGAGGTGAATGGCGGAAGAAGGCGGCCAGGGACCACAGCCCCGTCAGCCCCTAATGCATTTACATAATTCCCATCGGGCTGGGGTGGGGCCGAGAGGGTTGAAAGCACTTGACTCGAACGACCAGGCCTTAAACCTAAGCCAAATATCAATTACAATCGCGCAATGTGAACAACTTTGGCAAAGGATCGAGGACAACACAACAAGCAAATTAATTGAAATCGATGCAAATGCCCAAAACAGGACACACAGGACCCGGCTTAAGGGATGCTGTTCTTTGCTCTGCTTCCGCATTTTTCAATTTCTATAGGCATTCGCAATTGTCGGCGGCTTAAGTCGCACCCCTGTCCCTGGTCGCTTGTCCCCTGTCCCTTGGCTCCTGTCCCTTGTATCCTGCCCCTGCTCGACTTCGCCACAATTGTTATCAAACATGTCAAAGCAACGCAAACAATCGGTCTGGTTTTCATTTATCAACGCTTGCCCAATCAGTTTCATTTTTTCACTAGTGAGCTTGATCTATGGATTCGATTTTGCGGTTTACTGAGCACCGGCACCGGGAAGATAACGCAGCTCATCCTTGTGCCAGCGGCGGCCGTCCCTTTTTTCCGCGGCCTTTGTGCATTTGCCGGAGTGTTATGTTAATGAGTTCCTCAGCTTCCTCTTGATGGGTCTGCGGGGAATCACGGTATGTCATGCTGAGGTCCCTGAGCATGTGTCACAAATAAATGTCACAACTTGCAAACATCTGTTTTAGAAAAAGTAAGCTATTTTCAGCGGTGTTTATGTACTTAATTAAAATAGCAAACTCTGTCACTTTTTTTGAGTCTTTATCTGCATATGTAGAGCGGACACAGTTGTACCAACTAGCTATGTGTTCCAGAGTAAAAATTGCACCTAAACAACCTTTCTAAAAAGGTATAAAAATTATTTTTTTAAATACAGGATGGAATTTGCGAATTTTAAGCGTTGTGCTATTAAAGGATCTATAAATTTTAGAAATAAGTTGAACATTAAACCTTTTAAACCTAGTTCTAAGGCTAAAATGACACTCTTTTAATCACTTAAAACACTTTTTGTTTTGCCACAGAATTTCATTACAAAAACTCAATCCCAAAAAAATTTTATAACAACAAGATAGGAAAAAACAACCAAGCAGAAAAATTACCCAAGACAGGGATAAACTTTCAAAGTTCTTAAAAAAAAGATTTTTTAAATTAATAAAATAAAAGTATTTAAATTTTAAAGGCCCTCTAGTCTAGAATTCCGGGAAATCGTATACAACCTTTTTCATAATTCTATAGTATAGATATTTAAGACTATTGTGAATATTTTTTTCAAAATTTTAAAAGGTATATATAATAATTATAGCTGTTTTAGTTTTGCTGAATTAAACCGGTTAAGCGGACGACTGGAAATTTAAACGGGTTTTTCTCAAAACAACTTTTTTCGTATCCTAAGTTCTTAACATCCAACTTTCATAAAATTGAACATGAATGTTTCTTGAATATCTTTTTATCGCACAAAATAACAAAAGATACAAAATTTACAATTTCTAATATTTTAAACCTAAAACCGGGAACAAAAAAATTTAGAAAATAAATCCGTAAGACCTTTTTCTATATAACGGAATTTTTCGGTTTTCAGATGACCACAAAGGCCTAAGTCGTGTCAACCAGGACACTACCTTTTCTTCTTCCCTCTATTCTAAAAATATGATGAAGAAATATGAAAAAAATAAATAAAACTAACAATATTGGTGAACAACATAAAATTCGCTTATTTTTACCCATTCGGGCCTTTAGACTAGAAGACTCCCTTAAAACTAACAAAACAGGATCTTCCCTC